AGTAATCTACCTTGCGCATTCCCCAATAGCTCTTTACCACACTGATAGAGAGATTCCACTTAGTACACGCCTCCAATAGGGACGTCACCCTCTCGCACAACTGATCCCACGATTTCGCCGGGACTAGAATGTCGTCGATATAGGATCTGCGTCCTAACACAGATGGAGTCCCCAGATCGCCTGGCTCTCCTGCTTTGAATGGATCCACTTCCGCATTACCTTCCCCGGATCCACCCCCTTCTGGTTCTGGGATTCGAGTAAGTCCGTAGAGGGCATTGTCAATCAGGCGTTGATAGATCTGGGGCGCATTCTTCAATCCAAACCGCATCCGGCTCCATTCGAACAGTCTAAACGGTGTGATGAATGCGGATATTGCGCGAGCTCGATCCGTCATAGTCACCACCCAGAAACCATTGGCTATATCTAGAGAACAGTATCAGAGTACTTTATTTAAATCCTCCAATAGCTCATTGATTAGAGGCATTGGATACACCATCAATCGGGTCAGGCCGTTAACTAGCCGGTGATCAATGCACAGACGTATATCCACTCCGCTCTTCTTGATGATGATTACCACCGGAGATGCCCACGGGGACGTTGAGAAACCGATGATTTTGGCTTGTAGCAGACCCTTAATCATATCCGATAGTTTTTCTCGGAACTGAGGTGTCACCTTCCGCACCCTTTGAGCGATCGTCTTCGCGTCACCGACATCGATATCACATTTGACTCCGCGTACAGCTGGTGGTAATGCATTCCCCTTACCAATCAGCAGATGTCGGCTTTCCCAAATCTTCTGACGCAACCGACCCACTTCCGCGGGTTCGTTCTGTGGTGTTGGAATTCCCACGTGAACGCTAGCTACAAATGTAGTTAGGACGTTCCCACAACAATATGTCTACTAGGATAGTAAACGATCGTATGAGCGGACCTGAAGACCCCAGTTCTGCCCTTGCACCGGAACAAACTGGACCTTGTAAACTACTTATATAGGCCAACCAGTAAAAATGAGAACACGCTACTAGCACGAGCAAAGCTAGCAGATGTTATGAATCCTCGTGGTCCCAACAGCGGAAGGGTACCAGGCACGGGTAGGCCTTTTACGAGGTCACTGAGTGTTCAACACTCGGTTGGAAGAATAAAAGGGATGCAATTCAAGCACTCCCAGTCGTGCAAATAGGCAACAATAAGCCGTCACGTAAAACCTCCCGATAGTAATCGGCCAATACACATAGTCTCTTGGTCTTGCCGGATGAACCCTCGCTACAGAGCTTCAAATTCACCGACAGGGTATAACACACTCAAACAAGCTTGACCTGACGCTTACCTTGAAGCCGGACGTCGCTCTGTGTGCTTGAGTGGAAATTCTGTTCTGTCTTTAAGCTTACCCTTTCGGGTCTATTCCTAATAAGAAGTCCTAATCAAGTATACAAATATCAAGTGAACAATGATCCGTTATGGATCTTCTTGCATGCCAAGCGTCGTCTGCACTGTCGCATGAGCATCTTTAACGGTCCGCGCCCTGTCCCAGACAACGTGTCTTCCAAAGGTCGCTGAGTATTCCGCGAACTCATCCCAACCGCCACTGAGGGTTCGTACCGTAGATGGTCCGCTGAATGCGAATCCGGCCAGTCCATTATTAATAATAAGGACAGCCTGGATTCAGTGACATAGGGCCGTATCCGATACTTGTTGAAAACTCGGAGGTGACGCCGTCGAGTCCCTTGCACCTTGGCGTCTCCGTACATCACATGACCGAGGGTTCGTCGCCTGAAGATCTTGGGCGGTGTCACGTCTTTGTCGACGGGTGATAATCCGCAACCACGGAGAAATCACTACACCACACAGGTCCACACGCCGGGCAAAAGACCCATGCCCGTGGCATTGCCGCAGCATAGCATGGTCTTGCTGTACGCAGAGCTGTCGGCGCGTTGACAGCTCCGTGACGCTTCTGCGTCCTGGCGGTCTGTATCAGACGCCCCAGTCATGACGGAGGTGGGAACATGACTCACCAATGCTCCGTCATAGACCTGGACTGGTAGGTTCTTCTCAGCCTTGCCACACCAAAGTCCGGGCTGTGCCTTATGTTCGGCACAGCCATGTTGTTCATGGCGAGAACTGCGAGCGACACCGGGGTGCGCGAGTTCATCGAGCCGAAACGTTCAGGTCTGTTGAGGACCATTGGTACTTCCTTCACCGTACCAAAGGCTAGTCCACCAAGGACCAGCCCACGACCGCCACTCTGACATAGAGTGCAGTCGGATGTCGCTATGCCAAGCGACGTTCCGTCGGCGTATCAGCGCCCCAGAACTCATCAAACGTTCAAGGGGTACCGTACCCCCGTACACCGAGTGTACTACCAGCAGCCCATCACTGCCCTTCACCGGTTTGAGAGAACCACGTCTCTCTGGGCTAAGTCCCATGGTGTGCACAACCTGCACACCCATCACGAAGCCTTAGCGCTCTTCAGTAGGGCATACCGCCTCTACTGGTGGCTGGGGAGTCTTCGTCCACCTGGCTGTGGCCTGCGCCACCGGACTTGGGGCCCACGGGCCGTCTTCTTCCCGAGGACTAGCGAGGGACACACACGCTGGTAGTGTCCATGTCCGCCGCATCCATAGCAGCGGACCAAGCTCTCGGCTGAGCTTAAGTCCATGGGCTCGGGCTCGCTGTACGCACCGGCATCAACGGGCTGCGTGACAGCAGGAGCAACAGCGTCATTGCTGCGATGCTCCGCCTCCCGAGGAACGCCATTCTCATCGTGGCCATGTTCCTCTTTTCGAAGAGTACCAGCCTGCTTGTGGCTGTACTCTTCTTGGAGGGCGATTCGAATCGCCTCCTCCATAGTTGTCGCTTGCACCCGGAATAGCTGGGTGCGAGCAGGACCGACCTTCAGGCCGTCCATGAAGACTGTTGTCTTAATGTCTTCAGGCAGAGGATTCCCTGCCAGAGATGCCACCAACGTGCGCATCTCTTGCGCGTACTTCTGCAGCTCATGTGTACCTTGCTTACACGCGAGAAAGCGTGAGCGCTGGCGGAACTCGTTGTTCGTCGGTAGGAACGCGGCTCGAAACTGCTCACACAGCTGAGCCCAGGATGCAAAGCATCCAGGAGATGTCGTCTCCCTGGTGTACGCCCAGTGCTTGGCACGTCCACCAAGGTTGGACAGGGCAAACGCCACTCGAACTGGCTCGTCCGAGATGAGACCCGCCTTCATGGCGATCTCCACCTCACGGACCCAGAAGTGAAGGTTCTCTCCTTCCTTCCCCTCAAACGCGGGGACCTTCAGCCACACCGGCTTAGGCCTGGTTGCCCGGGGAGCGGGCTATCGTGGCCTCCAAGCTCCCGTGGACGTGAGCGATGAGACCACGCACGTCGGTCTCAAACGCGGTCACGCGCTCTTGTTGCTCGGCAGGCGTCGCCGCCGCCAAGCTGCGAAGGACATCTTGTCCAAAGATGCCTCCAATCTTCCAAACAGACTCGTACTGTGAGTCGGGAAACTCGCTTCGGTCCATCTTGGCTCAAACGTTGAGCGCACAGAGGTTTCAGGTAGTTCAATCTACCCGCGATGGTGCTGGATTGACTACGAGTGCTACCAAGTGTGACGGGGTCACACAGCACCTTGCACAGAGGAAGTGCTTAAGGGTAATAACTACCCGAGTGAACGTAAGTCCACGTGTTCCCGGCTTCAGTGGGAACGGTTTGCTACTTAGAGGAGTAGATTTATAACTGATGTATTTATAAGTAAGATAAGCTTGGGTCACATACAAACTAGAGGTTACCTATAGTGGAGCTAAGTAGTCATGCACTGACTGGTTCCGAGATCACCTGGTACCGTGTACCAGGTGTCCACAAGAGTGACGGGTCACTCTTTATGTAACATGAGGCACACTGGACGCCTTCCAAAACTATCGTAAACAGGTGCCTTATCTGCAGCAGATATGCCACGACATATCGCCGACTTAAATCTCACCACACCGAATTTACGTCTCACCAGACTCACCTACCCCTGCCGTTATGCCATGTACCTATCTTAACAGTTAATATTGACATTTGTATAGTTTAAGCTGACCATCACTCTGACGTGGGATGCCATCACTCTTCTGTCATATATCTTTGCATAAAGCTTTTCGCGCCGCCAAACGCTGAAACGCTTCATTCTTCAATTTAGTCCCGAAGTGCACAAGCGACTCTCAAGAAAGTACGAACTCTACTGTGTTATTGTTAATGTTTAACTAACGCGCTCTAATCTAATTAATGGATTGGCTATAGCGATGGCCCACAACACTCACTCTGCGCTGTTTTGGCTACAAAGGTGTATCAACGACTCCAGTAGCGGCGACGAGAACGTCTCTCCCAATGTGTGTCCTGACCCGCGACGCAGTGGCACAGCTAAAGGCATTGATGCCGCAAGTGACACGGAGACGGAAGACTTCAAAGGCTCCACAGGAGCTCTCACGCCGCCGTACTCATCTGCGCACCGGACTCATGATGCCTCGGTTTCTGCGACCGAGCCACCACACCCGCTAAATGGTGACCAGTCATCACGCCTGTCACCCCCTTCAGCTCGTACCATTGCGAGCCCGACGACATCTTCGCCGGTGCTGCTCAACACGCCACCACGACGTACACCACCGTCGAAGACACAATCGCGCTCCAGTGACGCCAGAAATGTACTTCAAGACAGCAAAGAGACGCGGCACAGCCGCCGCGCGAAGGCTGCCCCGTACAGCCGCCCTGACGCACTTCCTGTCCAGCAGTCGAACCGATTAGTCGTCAACCCGCGCGGTCTTATGCGGACCAGCCCCAAGCCGACGTTGAGCTCCCGATCCCGCGTTTCCCAGTCCCATGACAAGTTTGTCCCGGCCCAGTGGCCACGCCGTGTGGCACACTTGCGCGAGCAGTTCAACCCACTCGGCATTGTTTTCCCTGACGTGCCGCTCTATGGGTGGTGTGATTGTTTCTCGCCTTGTCGGGCTGGTGTGTGCCGCAACTCTTTGATGCATGTGTACTGCAACATCAACAGTTGCCCGTACGTGGGTCAGTACGGAAACGGACTGATGGAATCCAGCAAACTGTTTTTGGGGCGAAATGCGCGGACCCGCTCACTGGGAGTTGTCGCCGGAGAGAATATCGAGGCTGGAGAGGTACTTGGAGAGTACCTGGGCGAGCTGGAGCACGTGAGCATGGACCCTTCGAAGCGTCCTCGCAACACGGGGTATCGTCTCGTCATGCAGCATCGGCCAGAGCGACCCACGCAGCCCATTCGAGTTGCTATCAATGCTGAGCGCTTTAGAGGGTTGATGCGGTTCGTAAACCACTCGTGTCGCCCGTGTGCTCGTTTTGGGGAGGTATCTAATCGACGACGAACCACGGTGGTAGTCGTTACGACAAAGACAGTGCGCAAGGGCGAGGAAATCTGTGTGGACTACGGGAGCGACCTGTGGTTCGTGTGCCGCTGTGGACTTGATGATTGTTGCCACCGTGACATACAAGACCAGCGCGACCCATAGGCGATTTAGACATGTGATGGCTACGAAGACGGCGTCATCTAGCCTCACAATGTATTCGTGTAGGTAAGGATTGATGGTCTTACATGTATATCTTCATTAACATTCAATGTGAATTCTGACGCCCATCTTCTTGCTCTTCTATTGGCGTTGATTGCGCAGCACGTTCTAATCGGTGGAAGAAGCCCACGCCCTTTCGTTTCGCGCCATCTTTCGCAAGTCACGGCGAGCTCACTGCACAACCTGACCAAGATTTTCGCGCGCAGATTTCGCGCGTTGAAGCTACGCGCCGTGAGCTCTCAACCATCCACGCTTTTCACGCGCGGTCTCAGCGCCGTGGGTTATAATCTCTCAGTATAGGACGCTGTGTTTGGCAGACAGCTCCTGGCAGTCTCTCACTTCTGCTTTTGCCTTGTCAAACGCAAGCCACGCTTCGCTCTGCACCGCCTCCACAGCATCACCTCACCCCACACCCCAGTGTCCTGTCAAGGTACGCACGATTCACACTACAGCACTAACATCTTGAAGTTCTCAAACACTGTGTTGCATCTTACTACGTAGATGGTAAAGAGTACTGGAAGCACTAACTACAAGTTGGCCGAGATTGAGCGCCTTCTAGAATTAGTCGAAGACCATTTACCCTTGGGAAAAGACGAGTGGGAACGACTGGCAGGTGCCTACAACTCCAGCAGAGCTCGTGGGTGGGCGGAACGTGAGTTTGAGAGTCTACGCCGAAAGTTCAAGGTGCTCTACAGCACTCGCAAACCTACTGGCAAGGCGACCATGCCACCGCACATTTCGAAGGCCAAGAACCTGAAGAGGGCGGTCGACGAGAAGGCAAACGTCGTTGAGATGGACGACGAGGGCGATGAAGACCAAGGCTACGACAATCTAGACGCCGATGCAGCTGGGGATGGAAACAACTATCAACCGGACTTTTGTTTTGACGTCGATCCCGACGAAAGCTGCTGCAGTGGCCGTGATGATGATGGTGGTAGCAGTGGCGTATCCTCAATCCCCAACACTGCTGCAAGTTGTCGTCGTGGCACCATGTCTCGTACTGATGGCGACGGTGAAGGGGTCGCTACCGCTGTGAGCGGATCCGAAGGCGGTTTCCAAGAGCTTCTCGCGATGGCAATTTGCGGAGATAGTGTAGAGCAACTATCTCCTTCAACTGAACCTGGGACGCCGCGCCCACAACCGACAATCCGGTCAACTCGCTCTGCTGGGCTAAGTAAACCAAGCAAGACAGCAACGCCGCTGTCAGGCACTCCGTCAGATCCTCCCACGAGTTGTTCTGCTGCGAAGATGCAAAAGGCCGCGAAGAAGCCCGCGGCTCGTAGTTTCAAGCCAGGCACCCGTGACGAACTGGAGGCGATGCGCTATGACACGTTGCTTGATTACTCCAATCGTCTAGGTGGGTCAGAGTTGTACGCGCTCCGAGACCATGTCGGATCCAAACGCACGCGCGATGAGGCCGATGCCGAGATAGTGGAGGCAAGCTTTGCCAAGGTTAAACGTGCACGAGCCGTGAAAGCCACTGCTGCTCTCAAGAAAAAACTCAGTGACACGCAAGGCGCTACTGCTGCCATGGGGTCCAGTATGTTTGAGATGATGTTACTTCTACGTGAAGAGAATGAACGCAAGGCAGAAGCTCGTCGCGATGACGAAGACCGCCGCCGTCGTGAGGAAAACGTTGCCAGAAAAGCTCGATTTGCCGCAGAGAAGGCTGAAGCGGAAGAACGCCGCCGCCAAGACAAGTTAAAGATGGATGAGCGCTCCCGCCGCGACAAGGAAGACGCGCGAGCTCGTACTCAGGAGCTGGTACTTCTGATTGGAGCTCTGACTAAGAAGGAGTAAGTGGATCGTATGGTAGGCGACGAGTACGCTCGGTCACGATGACTGTTGATGCTCTAGCGCTGAAGGTCTATAGAGCTGAAGAACACAATGACCACTTTCATTAGTATCGTAGTTCGATCAAGCAGCTCTTGTTAATTTCAAATACAACAGCGATGGATGTGTTACATGAACGTCTTCATCTTTCGTTACAGCAAAGTGCCAAGTACTTAACTACTCAAGTGTTACAATTCAACAAAACTAAATCGCAGACATGCTACTACAAAGTTGACATCTCTTCCATCTCGCCGGCAAATGTGGTGTAAATCTGCGAGATCCCAACCGTGCGAACGCGATAGTTACACAAACGAAAGATGTTGTTGATGCGTAGCCCTCGGAGCTCAGGGTCGTAGGGGAGAGGGGGATTAAGACGGCTATACACCTTTTGCATGCTCCCCATGCCCCACTCCGCGGCCTGACGCACCGACGTGATTGCGTTATGTAGCGTGCGAGCTGAGCTCCGTAGCGACGGTAGGATTCGCTCAATGTCACCATCCTTGAGGGGAGTGAGAATCCGTCCGGTTAGCTCAGTGGAGCAAGGAAATGCAGAGTCGGACACGACGTTCATCCGCGTGTCGGGGCAGTACTTCGGGTCCAGCAGCTTCAATCGGAACCCCAACGACGTGTCCGAGTCGTTCCACGACCCCGGACACTTGTGCTTGCTCCAAATAATACAGCCATCCGCCGCGAAGCAGATAGTACCCGTCACGAAGACGCCATGGAGCCAGCCATTGTACATAGCGTTCTGCAAGTGTGCACTTGACGGTTGCATGACCTGTAGTACACAAACAATGAACATTGCCTGTAGCAATTAGCTCGTTCTCAGTCATATCATGTAAAGATAGAGTAACGCACCCGTAGATTCTTTCCATCGATGAATCCAAATGTGTTCTTCAATAACGGCTCGCGAGCCTCCACACGGCGTGCCCACTCGACTTGGCGGGCCGGGGATGGCCACGAAATACGTGCCGGTCGGTAGCCCTTCAGCGTACCCGCCAACGCTTCTTCAGCTTTACGGAGTGCTCTTGCAAGAGTACTCGGGGGCACTCCGAACAACATGCACAGGGTACTGACCTCCATCGAACCCACATAGAAGCACAATATGAGCCCCAGGCCCTGATGATGGTAACGCAGTTTAGGAGGACGCCCTCCAGTGGAAGACACGGGGCGGATGTGGTAGAAAGTTGAAAATCTTTGTAGCAACTGGTGGAAAGAAGCTCTACGTCGTTTTCATCAGAAAGTCAGTATGTAAATAGACCATCCAACACCAAATAAAGTTATACCTCGTTAAACTTGTGGCATTCAGGAAGTTCTTGTCCATGCCGTTCATGTAGAGCGACATCCACGCCGACTCGCCCGGTTTGTCCAGGCATTGCGATGTCAGGTAATGGCGACTCCGCATGGCGACACGCCAAGCATCCTCGATCATCAGGCGGTACACCTCAGCTCGCATCTCGTTGACACTATCCTCTACCTGCGCGAAAACCTGAGCCAAGTAGAACAGTTCATTCATCTCGCACCCCTCCTCCATGCTTCTTCGTGCCGCGAAAGTGAAAGTGAAAAATGGAAGGATTCATTCGAAGTCCTGTCCAGCTCAAAGTGTCAGGTACACATCCAGTCAGTTTACTATATCCAGTATTATTTTCTAATTTTGGGACACTGTTTGTTAGGACAAAAAGATCGTTAGTAAGTTGGTTGTGGTGGCAACCCAACGTGATATGCTTGACATAATACTTGCTTAAACCCACCTTTTCTGCAGCAGATAAGGCACCTGTTTACGATAGTTTTGGAAGGCGTCCACTGGATTGTACCCCGTTACAAAAGGGAATGTTGTAAGATCCATTTTCGTGATTTTCTACGTTGCAGTAGTCATGTTACATCTTCACCCCACGAATGACGTCCCAGACGTATCCACACCCTATCGGTCTTTCTGCAGCACACCAACTTGTAAGCCGTTAGTAGAGCCGATGGGCAGTATGGTACTTACTGCAGCTTACTCCGTTGTGCTGTCAGCCAAAGCCACAGCGATAAATACATTCTCGGGCGTCTTTCATTGTGAAGCCGTGTAAACGACTTGATCCCATTATGAAAACTTAGTCTAGGTACTGTTTACAGTTCCGAAAACGTTGTAGGTTTTAACCCGTGCAACTGTCTTAATTTAACTAAAATCATGTTATACTTGATTTGAGTAAGCAGCCGCTTCGTTCCAACCCAACGTTTCATTTCTGGGGCTCGTGCAAATAGCGCTCCTATACGTACGGCAGAATAGACGTCTGGGCTGACGTTGCACGGAAAATGAGCAGACATCACTTCAAGAAGACTCCTAAGGAACTCGAGACGCGTCTCCGAACCCTCAAACGTGCTCACAGTAAGGACTTGTCCAAGTTCCCTCCGTGTTTTCTACTTAAGCTACAAATTCCACGAGTGTGTTCCAGCTCTATGCGTCATGGGTTGCAAAATCCATCGGTGCTTAGCGATGAAGCAGCATATCAACTACTCCGGGTTGTATTTGGATCAGTTAGCAAGAATTTATATTCGACAAAGGGCTAGTGTAATATATCAAATTGCCGGTAAATTTCTACCTCGAGCGTTAGCCGATGTGCTGACAATTGTCGGCCTATTTATGGCCAACGATGTTTTTCTGGATACTGACTTATCCGGAATATTGTAGCGCATTTCGCGCTTCAGACCCAGTCCAGAGGTGTGAGTTGGTATTGAAATTCGCTCTGACTTGTGGCACTTAAGCGGCCAGCTTATCACCCGGTTCTTCAATGTTGAACCGCTCATTCAAGGAGACGCAAAAGACTGCAACCTCTCGCTACGACACCTTTCTGTGACTCCACAATTGTGTATTTGAATAGTTTCCTATTCATTGACGACATAAAGGCTCTCGTACTGCAAGCGTTATCCCCCTGGTTCCCAACGTCGTAACTTACGCCATAGCAAATTTACTATGTCGTAACTTACGACATAGAGAACGCAACAACAGAAAATGGCTCAAACCATACTTTATTCAAGTCAATTCAGGAAAATAAGATGGGAGAGGTAAATCAAAATCGCATCAGAAACAGGCCAGGCGGGAAGGGAGACGGAGGGAACGGGAAAGA